ATTTCAGAGTGTTCACAAAGCGTCGGTGCTTAGCTGTGGCGCGGTTGACGCTCCTTACTGCAAAGAGACCTGGGGAAAATTATATCGGTTTCTCTCATCAGCGGCCTGTTTGACAGTGACGTAGTTGCGCGATCATTCCTCCGGCGCCATTGTTCGTGACGTCACTGCCAATGTATAGCAGCTTGGAGCATCCCACCCAATATAACCACACCAGTCACTGGTGATGCAGGAGAGATGCAGCGATGATCCCAGATGCAGGGCGGGGATGACTTGGTGTTCGATCCCTGACGCATCGAGCACTTATTTCGATCACGGAGCGCTCGATACAACGCTTCACGTCACCACCATGCCAGTTTTTTAACTGGGCATATACTTGTAGCTTCGGAGCGCATGACATGGCGATAATAGTGTTCATTTTTCATGGCCGTGTCGCGTCGAACACATTGCGAACATACGCGCGTTGACTAATCATGAGCCCCACTTCACACTTGACCGAAGGTGCCGCTTGTTGGTAAAATTACTGCAGCGCAACAGCGTCGTCAGAACCGTTTGGTTTGTACTTGTTCACGTCAGAATCGATCACCCACGCCTATGCTGGAGTTTGCGATGGTTCTCCTCGTGTTTTCAAATACCACTAGCCCGTCGGCCACTTGTTTCTCCGTCTCGGGATGGTCATGGGATGTAAAGCCGTGGCATGGGTTGTGATGTGCTGGCATCCCCGTGCGCTGCGAAATGTTCCGTCTCAGGATGGTCATGGGATGTAAGGTCGTGGCATGGGTTGTGATGTGCTAGTATCCCCGTGAACTGCGAAATGTTCCGTCTCAGGATGGTCATGGGATGTAAGGTCGTGGCATGGGTTGTGCTGGGCTAGTATCCCCGTGAGCTGCGAAATGTTCCGTCTCAGGATGGTCATGGGATGTAAGGTCGTGGCATGGGTTGTGATGTGCTAGTATCCCCGTGAGCTGCGAAATGTTCCGTCTCAGGATGGTCATGGAATGTAAGGTCGTGGCATGGGTTGTGCTGGGCTAGTATCCCCGTGAGCTGCGAGATGTTCCGTCTCAGGATGGTCATGGGATGTAAGGTCGTGGCATGGGTTGTGCTGGGCTAGTATCCCCGTGAGCTGCGAGATGCCGAAACAAGCGGCCTCTCAACAGAGTCGTGCAGGCGTGTATCAGGCAGGCAGGAGGGTGTACCCATCAGTGCATCAGCTATGCCATTGTGTTATGGGCAAGGTAGTGCACATTAGGGGTGTACTTTGAGCAGAGATTACCTGGACACTCATTACCTTAGTTCATATATATATATATATATATATATATATATATATATATATATATATATATATAACTTATAATATGACAGTAGCTGCGAGCATCCCACCACATACCTCAAATATATAACTCAATAAATAAGTAAATGAGTACATAGATGCATATATATATATATATATATATATATATATATATATATATATACGAAGTCCCTTAGATCATTACCATCCATTACATTAGACCAACATCAGCATCAGCAGGTGGTTATTCGGGCGCTGGCTTCGCAGGTTTGCGATACTGTGCTGACAGGACCCGCAGGTCTGGTGCTTCCAGCTCACATGTGGACTGCGCCGCGACACCAACTATATCCGGGCTCGGAGGTCCGCTGGTCTCGTCCGATGCCACCTGCACACTGCCGGCCTGCTCCGGCCCCTGAGCCGAGCGGCGTTCTCCCGCTGCCCCCTGCCGGCGGGACTGCGGGGTGCGGTGGGAGGACGCAACGCCGGCCGGCCGCCGGTGACAGGTATATAACACCTGCCGCCCGCGCCCCGGCTCCACAGTCGCGCCGGTGGCGAGCAGACACAGCAGGTGACACAGGCCGACCATGTCGAGCTACGTCGCGCTCCTGTACGGTAAGGCTCCGATGTGCACGGATGTGCCGGTGGAAGAGGCTACGGCATAACGAGATGTGACGCTACACATCGCGGAATGCACTGTAACGTAACGTAGTGTACTGTAGTGCAATGTAACGTAGTGCGCACGGGGATGACCTGAAAGCGTAGTGGCATGACGACGTAATCCCTCAATGACTTTTGCTGCGGCACTCATCGTTTAGCGTCATTGCAGCCAATGTGATTACTCCTGAAGCCTGTTAGCGGGTCCTTGAAAGCTTAGCATGGTCTTCTTTTTATTGTTTTCACTCGAAATAAAACTTCGCTTGCAAGCAAGATATTACATGCGGCAAGCACGCGATACTCACAAGTTATAGACACTATCAACATCTAATTGTCTTCTAGAAGCCGGAGGCTTCTCCTTGATTCCACGTTTCACGGCGATTTTACGTTCCACGTGGTGCCACGCATTGTCAGGTTCGCTTCATTTAATGGAGATGGTTCATATTTTGTTGGTTGTTGAAACCAAACAAAGTCATGCTGAGGCAGATGATTTGGTGCATGTTATGATGATTTTGTGTTTGTTGATTTGATAACGGTAAGTGGCACACCGAGATGCACTCATTGAGTATCGAGATGCACTCACTTGTCGAAAAAACGAGTTTTTGCGAGACTCGATCCTGAAATATCGCATGGAATCGAAGACTAAGTTGCCAACTGTAGAACGATCGGGGGCAATCTCGCCTTAACATTATGAGAACGAGGGGCTCACATCTTATGCATCTTACTTAGTTTTTGCTACAGAAGAACGGGTTGAACTCCGACGTAAGAAGTTTAAAGGAAAGTCATCTCAGGCCACCCGATTTCAAAGCAACGGCTTGCCTGAACAACACTGGCTACAATTACTTGCTGATTCAGTAAATTACAAGCTTCTGATGAATTATGCCAAAATTGTCTCTCAGGTTTTGCGGCATCATCGAGATGCTACTTGTAATAATATAAACACCACTGCCTAGACCGCAATCAAAAGGGTTTCAAAGCCCCATTCCCAGCCTTGATGGAAAGTTTAAGGATCGGCCACGCAAAATATTGAAAACTGATTGGCGCAACTAGAGCCACGCACCCTTACCATACGATTAGATCGTTTGCAAATTTAACATCTAGTCTATACCGTTCTCGCGCATATATTGCGAAGACCGGCGTCGCCTTTCATTTTTTAAGCAATTTCATCAAACGTGTTTTTGGGGTGAGTTTGGGACCAGCGTCCTTGCCAAATACGTACAGGTTATTTCGAAGACCCTAACCCCGCCACCTAAGCTGATAAATTCGAGCTTAACAATATAAGCAGGGTATACTGACTCTTCATTTTATTTCAGTTATTGAATAATCCAATTTATGCTGAAAACCAAACTTGCATATATGTACTGTATGTGACTGCATGACTATAGTACAATAATTGTGATGAAAATGATTATCTAACTGAGCGAAACGATGACAAAACAGATGCACTTATGCAATATTTGTTAAAGACATACCGAAAACGACAAACGCATCATACAAAACCCCGAACAAACGACCAAGAAGGCTACAAACGCAGACGTTGCTGCAGTGTACATCCAACAAAGCATGAGAGAAAACCTCCTCCCGAAATACCCCAATATGTTAAAAATACATATAATACTATATCATATATCTATATATATACCGTCTCCCCTGCCCGACTAACCCTGTGCTTGCTCTATCACTCGACTAGACCCATGTTCGCTCTGTGGTCCAGTGGAGCCCTTGTGTCCTTCCGCCATCCACGGTAGCCTGTATTCCCTGTGATCCATCTGAGCCTGCTCTCTCCCTTACAGCCATCCGAGTCCATGCCCCCTCCTGGGACCTATCTGATCTCCCTATGTTCTGCCCTGTACTCAGTCTCCCACCTGAACCTGACCTCTCCTGTATGTCCCGGCTGAGCCTCCGTGCCCCGCTGCCGCAGTGCTGGGGTGCGTGGTGGCCGCAGCCAGCGGCGCCACCCTGGAGGAGACGCTGCCTGGCGTGCCCGGCCAGGACTACCCCATCTACGCCGAGGTGCCCGACACTGGCTTCGCCTGCGATGGCCGCATCAACGGCGGGTACTACGCCGATCCGCAGGCGCAGTGTCAGGTCAGTGACTCAATATCAGGTCAGAGATACGGTGTCAGGTCAGCGACTCAGTGTCAGACCAGTGTCTCACTCGGTGTCTGATCAGCGACTCTGTGTCAGGACAGTGACTCAGTGTCAGATCACAGCCACGGTGTCAGGTCAGTAACTCAGTGTCAGGTAAGTGGCCCGTCATGGGTCAGATCAGCGGCTTCGGATCCAGCGTCGGTTTATTGACTCAGCTCCTATCAGATCAGTGACCCCGGTCCAGTATCGAGCCACTGACCGGCCAAACGCCATTCCAATGACCCACCCAGAGCCAGGTCGGTGGGTTCGGGTCCAGTGTCAGGTCGGTAACTGATCCGGTGTCAGGATAGCAGGTCTGGCCGTGTGTCAGGTGCTTGTCTCACTTTACATATATATATATATATATATATATATATATATATATATATATATATAATATATCCTTCCGCCCATCCACGGTACGCCTGTATTCCCTGTGATCCATCTGAGCCTGCTCTCTCCCTTACAGCCATCCGAGTCCATGTCTGTATATATATATATATATATATATATATATATATATATATATTATATATATATACAGAGAGTCGAAGCCGTTGTTCAGGCCAGGGCATCAATATTGTCAGGCTAAGCTGCTTACACGCCGGGCAGCATCGCGTCTAAGATCCGGTGCTGTGTGAATGAAAACCCATCCGGATTTGTCTTATCTACACACAGACATGCTCACAGTAATGTAGTTACTACTGGCGTCCACAACATAAAGCGTGTTAAAACTTCAATTATTGTATTTTTTTTTAATCGGCAGAAGCGTTGTTTAGCGTTTCCACTTGCACGAACTGGGATGAAGTGTATCACACCCGTTGCACAACTAACGACACCAGGTACGCCAATGATTGAGAGGCGACGGGAGCCCGCATGCAATAGCAGAACATGCTGCAAAATGATCCGGTAGAACATGTCACCCTGCAAACTAGCCATCTCACAAACCACGCATTTATCGCGTTCTTCGACTCAGGCAGATGACATCTCTTGCAGCTGGACCGCACTATTTAGACCACCTGTCGAGCCTCCCGCCACCGTGACAGTGGCGTGACGTGACGTGACATCGACCCCATGCTCCCGTAACCCGGCCAACCACAGCACGCAGCTTCTCAATCAGTGGACAAAGCACACGGCGGTCAGCGCGGCGCGTCAGCGATATCAGCGCTCCATCACCGGTGACGAACTGCGTCCGAACCCACCCGTCACGCCGTCACTCGCGGCGCCTGAAGCCGTGACGTCAGCGACGCCGTTGCAGCGGCACGTTCGCGGGGCGCATCACGCAGGTGTCACGGCGGCGCAGATGAGGCGCGCGCCCGCCGACGGACGCTTTCGATTTCGGCGACTCGCTGCCGGCGACAGCGAAATGGCCCGGCGCCGGGCGGTGGCCATCTGCTGACCGTCGCTGCTGCGGCGCCGACGGGTTGTGACGTCACGCGGTGGTGCCAGCGGGAGAGAGAGTGCGGCAGGCGGGAGGAGGCGGGAGGAGGGGGGGTGGGGAGGTGGGGAGCGGGAGAGAACGGATAGTACGGCGGGCGGCGGGCGGCGGCGGACGGGGAGGCGGCGGGGGGGTAGGGAGTGGAAGAGATGGAGAGTACGGCGGGCGGCAGGCGGTGGCGGGGGAGGCGGCGGGGGTGGAGAGCGGGGAGAGACGGACAGTACGGCGGGGGGCAGGCGGCGGCGGACGGGGAGGCGCCGGGGGTGGTGGGGAGCGGGGGAGACGGGGAGCACGGCGGGCGGCAGGCGGTGGCGGACGGGGAGGGGCGGGGGTGGAGAGAAGCGGGAGAGACGGAGAGCGGCGGGCGGTAAGGGCTGGAGTGTCAGGTAGAAGTGGGTGCCAGGCAGGTGCCTCGGCGACTAACATGAAGCCGTTACAGGTGTTAAAGGGAATCTCGCATCTTGTCGTGGCTGTATTTGGCCCACATTCTTACAACGTAAACAGTACTTGCATTGCGTGGCAATGACTCTAAGAGGCGTCGCAAGGTTGCTTGAGTGAATCTTTCCCATCTAAATGACGTTGGGGGGCGGGGGGTATTGGCGACTGGGCTGGTATGGGGGGGGGGATCTTGGCGACTAGGCTAGTATGGGGGGTCTTGGCGACTGGGCTGGTATGGGGGGGTCTTGGCGACTGAGCTGGTATGGGGGCGGGGTCTTGGCGACTGGGCTGGTATGGGGGGTCTTGGCGACTGGGCTGATACGGGGGAGGGGGGTCTTGGCGACTGGGCTGGCCATGGGGGGGGGGGGTCTTGGCGACTGGGCTGGTATGGGGGGGGGGGGGAGAGGGGCAGTGGGCGCTATTCCGATGAGGCACCGTCGGAACTTTCCAGCCGTGTGAAAATGCCAGTTTATCATATAAACCATCCTTCCCGTCTAGTCGTCACAATGCGGCTTCATGCAGCCAACATTGCTTATAAACTATTGGGCTTCAGCTGGCTGGTCTAGTTCGCTCCGTGAAGCTCTCTCAGGAAGCACACCTCGCGCACGAGTTTCATATGACCTCCACGCACCAAACCGGCGATGAGCAGTTCCAGCCAGTCGCTCTGCGGTCACCCACACCACGAGATGGTCCGTGACCGACGGCACGGCGGGTGCCGCGGCCCAGTGGGCACGCGGCCACCGTCGGAGCGCAACACAGTCCATCGAGTGATGACACTGTCGGCCGGCCGATTTTCCCGTCCGCCGGGCGTGACGTGCGGTCGCGGTCGCGGCCCGACACCTCGAGCCCGCGACCTTGCCGCTGACCAATCCCGTGGCCAGGAGGGCTGGGGCTGACCTCCGCGCGGGTCGTGACGGCTGGTTCGGATCTGGTCTCCTGGCCGCTCTAGATCGGGTCTGCTGGGTTGTTAGATCTTGTCTACTCGCTGGTCTGGATCTGGTCTGCCGGCTGGTCTGGATCGCGGCGCGGCTGATCACGGCTACGGGAGAGGGTCGCCGCGGCGGTCGGCAGGCTTCACTGCGTCCCTCGCCACCGTCTCGGCACCGTCACGGCGTCACCCGCCACCGTTTCGGCACCGTCACGGCGTCCCTCGCCACCGTCTCGGCACCGTCACGGTATAACTCGCCACCGTCTCGGCACCGTCACGCTCTGGCATCTGTTGGACTGCGATTCACCCAAACATTATGAACAGCTAAAGCCGTACCGTGTGCTAAATCTCGTGTTCACTGTCTGCGCTCGCCGCCCGTCAGTGAAAGACAAGGCTGTAAGGAAGTGGCTCAGACTCCTTGGCAGGAGTTTGGAACGCCTACCTCCGTGCTTTAGGTCTTTGTTCTGGACCGCGGCTATGGCACCAAGGTGTACACATTCCGCCGGCGAGGGTACACGCTACTAAACACCGCCGAATGTTCACGCCATCGCAGTCCGCACAATCCAATCCAAAAGTCTGTAGGGCTCAGTCTTCAAAACGGAGATTCAGAAGCACTTATTCTGCTACGTGTTACCTATCTTTTCTGCTCCGAGATGATGACCATGACCAGAGCACTGACATAACCGTGTTATCTTGCTCGCTGCCTCGCAGACAGCGTGGTTCATTTGTCCGGAACCTACGCGGTTTGTCGCTCTTTGGCCACACCGGGTCATCTACGCAGGATACGGATCGGTCTGGTTGTAATGTTTCCTCGGATGGTCTCCACTAACACCGGCACGCCGGATTTTTTTGGTGCTATTAACGTGGCGTGCCTCACAGCGCCACACCGTGAATGGTCCATTGTGAGTTTCCCTTTCACGCTGATCGATTACGTCCGCGGGAGCGCGATCATCATGTGTTCGTCATCAAATCCAGTGTCTGTTCATTAACGCCCATTAGTAACGCTTCAATCATGACCCATAAGCGCGTCTATCCGACAGCGACTTGCAAATGAACCACAGGTCCCCAAATTACAAGCCGCGACAAAACGCGAGCCAGCATTCGAGTCCGTGCGACGCGCTGCTGGTCTGCAGCGACCGGCGCTGACAGTCCACATCCCCGCACGTTCCGTCAGGTGCCGCGGGGGCCACCCGCCCTGTCCGCGCCGTTCGCGGTTGTGTCGTCAGCGACGTTGGCTAACCAGGCGCGGCTGCACGGCGGCGGCCGGGCCCGTGACGGCCGGCGTGACACCCGCGCGCCATCCTGGCGGCCGCCGCCGCCGCGGGACCGGCGGGGCGGGGCCGAGACTGACCGGCGGCGAGGTGCGGGAGATGGGGCACGCGGGAGCCGGCAGCGACACCTCTCGGAAGCGGCAGGGATCGGTGCATTAATCTCAGTCTTCAAAATACACACTGTTGATGAAGCGTTATGAGGGACGAAGAGACCCATTCCGCTGCTAGCTTGTTTCTCAGATAGTAAGGTTCGCGTGCGGAAAAGAACGAGGAGACTTGAATTATTTGTGCTTAGATTGATTCACATTCGTGTTAACTGCCATAACCAAACAGTCTTGAATTATTCTATAATATATATATATATATATATATATATATATATATATATATATATATAT